TATATATATATATATATATATATATATATATATATATATATATATATTTATATTTATATATAGGATATCTCAGACTCTCCTCCGCAATTTTTATGGAAACGTAGAATGAATTGAGTTAAACATAAAAATTCACATTGTTTTATATATTCGCAATAAATTTCGAGATATTAATTAAAGAAGGTTTGTGCATTATTGCATATAATCACGTAACAATCTTCTTTCATTAATAACTAAAAATCTACGTAGGATTTGCAAAATAATAAAAGGTTTTTTTGTTCAATTTAACTTAATCTACAAGCACACAACAGCACATATCACCACTACAGCTCATCTACCATATCGTGATCATTGACCAATCTTCTTTAATTAATGTTCCGACTATTATTGCGAATATCACAAAACGATATAGAATGTTTATGTTCATCTCAATCGGTTCTACGTTCCCACAAAAATTACGGAGAAGAGTCTGGAACACTCTATATATACATATATAAGTAATTGATTTCATTTGTTCGGTTATTACAATTTTAAGACCAGTTTAATCGCGACGTAAAAATACTCTTTCACAACGCCGTTATTGTACATATCCAAGGTTTTAAGCATATATCAACTATTATAATATTGTAAACAAGGACAAACGAAGAGAGTTCTGCGATTATCAATATAAACGGTCCTAAAGCGTAACATGTCAGAGAAAGACAAGATTAGCCGTTGAAGAAAGCATATAAATTATGTAAACTCGAAAAATACAGTGAAGCATTGTCAGAAAAGTTAGTTAATTTGCTTACACACCCTTCATTACGAATCTCTCTCTCTCTCTCTCATATTTACTCACTACACGCATTCTTATTTTAATACTTATTTTATATTTCAATCAGTCAATATATTTTAATCACTGTATACATATATAGGACTTTACATAATATACATATAATATAGAATTTTTAAATAAGTTCCGTTATTTGGCCTAAAATCGTTTAATATAATAAACCAAAAGCTTTCAATAGCATGTTGATGCAACAGTACTTATATTAAAAATTATGTGTAGTGGCAAGAATATAAAAGCAGATTTGGTGGCGACGTGCGAACGTGCAGGAACATATAGATGAAATCCAGTAATGGCGTCCTAGGGGCGGACGAAATACTCGGGTCGATAGAAGGAAGGCTACCTACGGAGCTCGAATACTCTCTCATCTTATTGCCGACAATCACCCCCACCAACAGTTCTTGAGCAGTTTATCGTTAAAAATCTAATCGACAATTCCCAGAGTAGGTATATATAATTTTAAATCTATATTTTATACATATAGAATGATTTATATATAAACTGTTTACACAAATATGTATGTGCCGTCATAATAATCTTAAAATTTAGCAGTACATCTATAATATTTTAACGTGTCTAAATATTTATGCATTATGACTCTTGATTGTTCAACAAAACAGCAAAGATGCATAAAATATCCTTTATAAACTCCCTTTACTATAAATGATTTTGTGTCTTATATTACTATTCTTCTTGAATAATAATTGAGATATAGTTACTATTTTCTTGAATAATCACTGGTTATGATGCACGAATATGTCGACACGATGCGAATTATTGAAAGATTTTAGTTAATGTGCCGTTAGATTAAGGCTATTATGTTGGTCTGTAAAACAATTTAAAGAAAATCATAAAATAAAATGAAGCAATTTACAGCTTTCATCTAGGAGATTTTGGTATATAGAACTAACTATGCTAAAATCAGTTGCAACGTGGCACAATATGAAAAATAATATATCGATAACATATCCTCGATAACATATCACTAAAGATAAAAATATAAAAATAAGGTAATTAAAGTAAATTTACAGCATGAATTTATGCAAAAATTGTCTATAATATTCATACATAATTCATACAAAACGTTATATAAATCTAACGAGTCACTATTAGCGAAATTCTTAAGAAAAATAGAATAAAAGTCCTAAAATAGTGATAATTTCATATGTCAATAGTTAAATATGCTATTACAAGCTAAAGGATGGAAATATTTTGAGGTCGGTTTTCATACCGCTTAATCCGGGTCAAGCTGTAGTTTAAGAGGATTAACATCATCACCCAATTTGAGGGAGCGAGTAATACATTTACAGTGGGAAAATCTTTTAGTCTCATCAATAGAAGAGGACTAATCTGTGAACAAATATGTTTTCTCTCACCCACCGACTATTTCTTATTTCTTGCATTCGTTAAGCATATCCTTTTTAACATTACTCTTTTCTATGAAATGTTTACATCGAGGACTGTATCGTCCATAAAGTATGCTCTATATTGCTGCTGTAATATTAGTTTTATTAAGATCATTACATTTTTCCTTATTTTTTTTTTTTTTAGTAATTGTATGCAAACGATCTGCACGCTCGCGTCATGACCAAGTAACCTGGAAATGAAAGGTACGTCGACACACGTACAGGAATAAAAGGAGCTGTACCGCTAAGAAGACGAAGAAGAAGAAGAAGAAAACCAAGGAGAACGCGACCTTGCTACATTCAGCTGTGTCATCCTCAAGCCGTTAACGCTCAGGTGGTTTCGATCCCAGGGACGAGCATCAATCATCATCGGTAGTGCAGGTGTAATGTGATCATTGTCACTGAGATAACCCAGTACGATATTCATTTATGAAGTGTGTTAAGTGACATAACAGAGTTTATCTGTAACAGCGTATCTAAATACTTTGTGAAAGAAGCGACTTCAATATTAGTTCCTCGATAACATGCAATTTGTTGGGGCAGATCGTTGTCGGACCAAAGCCACATTACGAAACAATCGTTCATTCATATTTAACGAAAATGGAAAGGATCTGTAGTATCAAAGTATAGTAACAGAGAAATGCTAATTTAAAACTTAAAGTTGCGCGTATGCAAATACATAAAGTAAGGAAAAGTGAAAAATAGCAAATTTTTTCCGATTTATCGAAGAAGATCTAAAATAGAATTGAAATATTTAACACGCTTGTTTATATAGTTATGTAATTATTTAATTTGCGTGTGAATATAATGAAATACGTTAATACAATGAAATACGTAAATATGATTTCTCTATAATTCTTTATAAAGTTTTCCTTCTTGCAGGAAGCAACGTAAATTGCGATTAAATGGCGATGAAAATTATTATCGCGCTTATATAGAAACGAAACACAAAAGTTCAACAAAAACAGATCCTGCCCTGCTTTCTTGAGAAGTGACTCGGCATACCTAAGCTATTTCCGTATGACCATGCACTTCGTAAGCTCGCGAGCATGCTAATTTGAAATTACATTCTATAGCTTCAACGATATTTATTTCACGAAAGGCAAATACAGCTAACACGCCATAAATTATTAAATAAAAGATAAAAATATGTAAATTTGCTTAAGTGATTCTGTTATCACCGATAAAATGTGTAATGTATTTCAAATAGAATTTAATTTGATATAATAATGAATGATATGCGTGATAATCGATAATGAGACCAAATAAAGTTACATCAACATATTTACGTTGTTTTAGAATATAGGAGAAATTAGTATTAATAGAGGGAAATATTTTCAGATTCCTAAATGTGGTACCTGTGAGAAGTTTACCGAAGATCACGTACTGGGCGGACAAAGAAGTTAAGACCGGCACGTATATATGTGTGTATGTGCATACACATGCACTCCAAGTACTTTTAAATAGATAAGAAAATTAACGATAATCAAACTATGTGCCGTAACAAGAAAGCCCAGTTAATGCTCTACATCTACCCTGTAGATCCGAATTTGTTTGATAAGAGGCGACAAATTCGGTTCTAGAGAGGTTTGTGTGGTGCATACAGAGCAACGGTGATCTTTGAATAAGTGTAATCAAATACATATTACATATAATGTATACAGTAAATGATATATGCATATATAACATGTGATAATTTACAGCTATAAAGTTAGAACGTATATATAAATCAGTTAAGACTTAACAAGACAAAATATAGACATAAGAGACACACGTCTTATACAAATTCAAATATCGCACAAATTTGTGTAATTTGAATTTTATATATTAAGTATTAGGTGCATCTGCAAAAATTTAGTATTTAGTACTTAATATTTTGTAATCGAAGTGTTTTCTTCACTCTTTTATGGTTTTAAATTGTTGTGATTTGTGAGAAACATACTCTCATTATTATTTCGAAAAGAGATGTAACAGAAATTAACATAATCACAAGAAACAAAGGAGAACATTTTTAATTGAACTTAAAAATTTAATTTTTTTGCATAAAATTTAACTATTAGATTCAAAATAAACGCGCGGAAAAAATTTTTGTACATATATTATATTATATAATAATATACTAAGCGCATCTGTAATATCCGCTTATTAAATCTAGAGTCACTGTTAATCTTACTAACATTAGTCACACGTAAAGCTATCATAGATTATGCCGCTTCCTCGAATAATCCATATTTATGAGTCACGAATATACAAGGCAAGATATATAAAATTAAAAATTTTCCAATGACCCTAAATCTCTAACAAATGAATAAGCATTATTGGTGCTTAGTGTACAATTGGAAATGTCGTTAGGACATTTTTGAATTCGATTATGCATATGATAGAAGAGTTATTAATAGCAACAAAAAAATTATAAATGTAAAAAAAAACTAATGGACGTCATTACGCCCATGGACTTGGTTGCATTGGTATATCGTCGATGATGAACTGCTACGTCTAGCGTGACCTGTTGCACATAAGTTCACTCACACATCGCATTAAATTGCACATTCTCCTCGTAGTTTATACAGGTTAATTCAAATTTTATTTGCACAATTGAAAGTACAGTATAGAATAAAACATTTGTGAAACATATTAGACTCAATTACTAAGTTTAAGTGCATATAGCTTGTTTTATTAGAAAAATATTTCATATTATCTCACAAAATTCTCTTGATGATTTTTTTAACAAATTTAACATCAAAACGTTTAGTAAACTGATATCAAGTATCTTCTAAGCAAAATTATTCGCACTTATTATTTACATTTTTTGTTTATTTATTATTTATATTTATATATTTTATATTTTCTTTTTTAAATTTTTTGTATAACTTTGAGTCAATGATATAATTTATAGAATTATTCATATAATATACACAACAAATATATGATATGTATGTATGTGTGTGTGTGTGTGTGTGTGTATTCCTACGGAATTTTATACATGTAGAGTAAAATCTATGTGTGATGAATAATTATGTAATAATTTATATTTAAATTAGTTTATTATTTTCAAAAACTTATTTTTAAGGCAAAAATAGTGTGAATGTGTGCATATAATTATATTATTATATAATTTCAACTAATTTTGTAACTATGTTACATTCTCTGTGCTGAATATTTCTTAAACACTTGTGAATATTTCAATTTGAAGAGAACGGTGTGTCTTGTTCATATTCCACTGTATACTATATTTTTAATATCTTAGTTTTTTATTACGAGCCTTCATTAAATGTACGTCTGTTACTAGCGAATATGTGATTTCTTGAATCTTTCTGTAACGACTGAAGCAAATCCATTAATCTCTGATCGTGTTCATATTAAAATGACATACCAGCCGTTACGCAACCACTCATAAGTGCTAATGAAGTGCATACACAAGTGTAATTACCAATCGAGTGGACTGCCCACTTTTCACTCGTAATATAATCTAGTGAATAAAAAAGAGTTGTTTCATAATGACATGGCGGGGAAAAACGCAGCCGTCTCACGTAGATCGGCGATTACCAGCTGATGGGTTCGCTGGAAGTTAACATTAGAATTTCTGTAAGCGTCCGTCATAGCATGTACTTAACTCCGTATAATTTTTAACAATAGGAATTTATGTAGACGTATCTTTATATCTTATGGATTACATCTTGAAGAAACAAACTGTAGAAAATAGATTAAAAATGTATAAAACGCGCAGGACATATACACAGTATTGATGACGAATCATACTATTTACTCAGTTATTTTATTAGACAAACAAATTTAAATATGTATACTGAATTGAAGAAGTTTAAATGGTATATAGAATAGTACGTCCAACTTGTAATCACAGAATTTTCAAGTTTAACTTGTTAATTATTAATTATATAACAATGCAACTTTTTTAACTGCATTAATACATTGATACTATTTTTAACAAACGATAACATATGTTATAACATGTCGCTCGCGCTTTTTATATATAACTTGTCATAAACAATCGGTCTGTTAATTACTTAAAGACAATCAAAAATCTAATCAAACAACTTTATAATAATTATCACTTATTCGATAAAAAACTAGTCGGCATAAAAATTATATACGATCATTTCTCCATGAGTGATTATTTCGAGAACAGCCAGTACTGAAAAACGATCATTGAAATTGACCCTCGCGTATAAACAAAATAGTCAACGACAAAAAGCCTGCACAGTGTACGATGACTGGACTCCCTCAGTTTCGTGTGTGAATAGAGAGCAGTAATTTCATTACATTAATCAGCGTTATTAAAAGTCTCCCTGGCGAATAAAGGGAGAATCGTATCGATATACCCACGTGGAAGATTCATTCCGCCTCGCGAGTTATCGCGCCGAACATCGGATCGCGATGTTCACCGGACGTTCACGTCATCAAGACTCGCCATTCTGGTTCGAGTAGCATTGCAGGATGGAGACAAACGGCCGCATGCCGCAGATACGGTTGGACGCGTTTACGTACGTTTCCAGAGATCTTCGCGCGGAGTCTCGTCTCGAGTCTAAATCCACATTCGAATGTGCGAGAAAACATAGCAAGATTAATGATTTGCGTGACACGAGGGAGAGGGTGCTGCTCGCTCGTCTGCCTGCCTGCCTGCCTGCCTGCCAGCCAAGCAGCCCGTTTGCTCGCTCGCTAGCCGACGGCTGCGGCTGCGCCAGTACGGTGTACTGGGAAGAAACGTGAACTGCGGCAATAGCTTTGCCACTTTTCTCCCGGCGCATTGTCCGTATTTCTCTGTCGTGCAGTAGCAGACCGTCTTACGAAACTATTGACCCGATTCCGTGAATTCCGCACGACTTCGCACGACGTCCCGCAGTTCGATCGGGAATTGATCGAGGAGGCACGTCTCGCCTGATTTTTTGTCCTGCGCTCCCAGTTTCATACAAGAAAAAAAGGAAAAAGAAGCAACGATCGATACTTATTTTATTACGAGAGCACGCGCGCCTATGTTCGATTTGTGAAACGAAGTAATCGCCGCCGGGCGATACAGCGATTAAGATAACGCGGGCAGAAACGGTTTTCGCGTTCGCTTAAAGTGTCGGATATATTCCCGGCTGTAATTACTAATTTCATTAGCCGGAGGCAGCCAGGCCTATCGATTACGCGAAAAAGTGCCGAGGGTGCGGGGCGGGGAAGAGGGTAGGCAGAAAGAGGTGGAACAATATCTTCGTTGCTTTTTGCAATATGCTAATTATGTCAATTATGATTTATATCTATTCTTTCCCGGCTTCTAACGCGCGCGGTTATCTGATTAGTTTTCGTAAATTACATCGTTCCATATTTTCTTCGCGGTGGTGATTGATGAATTCCGCCCGATTAACATTCCAGCTTGACACGAGGTGCTCATTAGCTGCCGGGATTGTGCCGTGTATTTAAAAATAAGAATCTTTTTCTCGTATTAGCGACAAGTCGAATGTGTTGTTTTTCGACACGATCAGAAACATTTATGCGTTTCAAAGAACATTGCTTTGATTTCTCGTTTCTTGAGGATAAAAAACACCCTCAATTATTTTTAACTGTAACTGAAAGTCTTGTCCTTAGCACATAGTGAATGTCAGACGTGCTCGAGCATCTCATGTTACTGTTAAACTGAGCTGCAAACGAGAAGGACTAAAAGGGTTGAACGAGTCCTTTAAGCAAACAATGCAAGACAGATGCCCGATGAATTCGTGTCTCAGTGACTGATGACATCTCAGCGATCACAAGGGGACCTCCCAGCATTTAAAACGTCACATCGTCGTCCCGAGAATTGAAACAGGGCATTCAGTATGCAAAAGCACGTTAGACACATTTTGCATTAACGGTCATTTGGTCGGACAGTTTCGTATGATGTTAGCAACGGCCATCGTTGTTAATCTCAACACTGATTGGCACTAACATTCCGTCGAATAGTGCTGCCGAGTCTCCTCCAATCTTGTTTATAAGTTTCGTATAACTGCCAAATTAATGCAGCGTTTGAGAATTTGTTCCACATGGGAGAATCGTGCACGACATGTTTATTCAAGATCGTTCCAACATCGTGAAATTACGTTCGTTCGCGGTGCGTTTGAGTGGCAGTCAGGTGGACTCCGTATTTCAAAATTGTAAGGTTGGCACGTCCATCAATTTAAAATTGTGATCTGGAGGGTATAACGAATCTATGGACGATAAGGTACGCCGTGGCGTAGGTCTAGACTGGTAGACGTACCAGGAGGAGGAAAGCAGCTTTTGATGCCTCTGGCCTTCGGTCCAGTCGTGCATCTTGTATCGAACACGGACAGAAAGAGGTCGGCATAGATCTGACGCCCGCGATGAGCGCCGCTGCGGTATAATATTAATGATGACTGGCTCACCACTTGGAAGAGGCTGTCTACTTGGTCTATCCTTCAGTATCTCTCCTTTTTTTTCTTCAGGCACAGATGCAATTTATTCGTAATCGGTTTATGCACGTACTTCACCCCTATTAATTTGTCTGGCGTTGATAAACTTCCAATTTATGCTCGAGAGAGTCTCCAATTCTCTTTCGCACACACATTTGTTGCCGCGGTGTCTCCTTCTCTTTCTCACCGAGTTTTTATTAATTATCTCCTAACAGAACTAGTTAATTGAATCTCTTGATTATACTTTTTGTGCGTTTCATTTGTCAAATTGCATTTCGGATCTCATTAGATCGGTATATAAACTCAATCGTCACTCAGAAATTCCTTGTTACTCTATTACTTTCCTGATCCAAACAATAACAATTGATGTATCTTCTATCTAAAAATTTATATTATATTCAATTTTCATCGTGTCATATATGTAATTTTCACATAGTTTTATGATAATTACATACAAATTAACACACATGTACATTACAATTACATAACATATCATATTCAAACTTCTTGATCATAAAAACAGCTTTATGAGATAACAAATGTGTTCTTTATAAAATTTTACTTATCAATCTAGCACTAGGAGATCTCCGATATTTACCTATATACGATTTCTAAACTTTTCATTTTTATTGTAAAAATAAAATTCAGTGCATGACTCGTAAGCAATACTTTCCATTTTCTTGGGGCTTATTGCTACAATGACTTCTGAGTAGTATAGTGAAAGAATATAGTAACTTTGGAGGATGCGAGCCAGGCAGCAAATCATATCCCGCGGGGAAAGATGGCCGTGGCCCTGACCACCTGCTGCCTCTTTGATTCCGCCGCTAGAATCTCATTTAGCCGTGTAATCCCGATGTTCATTGACGATGGATCGTTCTGTCTGTGCCGAGCATTGTAGGTGTACTAAAACATCTTACGTCTCTAATATATCATCGATTGAGAATAAAGAGTAGATCGGCAGAGTACACTATTACCAATACCGGGATACACATCCGGTCGAACAAAATGACGCTATAATACCACATACGTCACTTATGAAGTGCACAATGCAGAATAAATAAATACACTCACTAGCACTTACGTTGCAGTGCCATCTTCTCCTGTTTCATCCTTTCTCTAGTTGGGAAGCTCTTGTTATACTAAATTTTATGTTATATTGAGCTACACCTTTAATATCGAGTTACTATAAAGTTTGTATTAAGACAATATTTATTGCTAATAAAGTGTGAAGGTGCGAAAATACTACTATCGTTGTTACTTATCACATAATAGAAAAGTCAAAGCAACGATTGAAAACTGAATACAGAACTCGATGAGCTCGATAAACTTAATAAAAAAGTATGTAAATTTAGTAACCAAGAAAGGAAGGAGCGCTAACATATTGACTCGTTTAAGGTGACGAGTTATTAAACGCGGCGAGTTACACCTCGTAGTTCTCGATTTCCGTGGAAGACAGTGATTCGGCTTTCCTGGCTGCCGACAATGAATAGCCACTGATTGTTTGCGCCGCGTCACGGTTTTAGAGTCGTGTTTAATTCAATTTGTGAGTGACTTACGGTGCCTGCCATTAGTCATCGTGCAGCGCACGCCTCGTAGTCGACTTCTTCTTGCCCGCGGAGAACTAACCTGAGTAGTAATGGAAGAAGCGACTCCTTACTTTACTTACATCTCGGATGCCGCAATCGATGCTGCACGAGAATGAACATCATCAAATGAATGGTGTGTAAGTAGTCAGGCTGTGTATATATATATATATATATATATATATATATATATATATATGTGTGTGTTTGTTTGTGTTGTTATAGTTTCCTAATGGTTAACAGGCTGACAGTAGACAATTCCAGTGAATCCCTACATCTCAAATATCTTTCCTAGATTTTGTGAATAGACGACACGAGTTTTCACACCCGCGCATTTACCGATAAGGAAAGGGATAAGTGAGAAAGATCAGACCACCCAGGAACATGTAGGCATAGTTGTATTTACGTTACCGTGCGCTATTTGTTTACAAACTCAAGAACGTCAAAGGATAAACGAACGAAGAAAACAGAAAAAGACAACTATCGTCGAGGCTTTACCTTGCGCATTTTAGCCGCCGCCACGGAAAGCCAAATGATTGGTACCACAATGAGACGTGTCGACTGAGGATGCCGCTCATCAAGTGAATCAGCAGCAAATGGTAGCGGGCTAATAAGTGCTATTATTCCGTCGCCGTGGCGTTATGCACGTGGTACTGCGGTACGTAAATACGGAAGAGGAGAGGAAGAAACGAGAAGGAGAGGTACTGTTACGGTCGTCACGGACTAAAGAGAGAGAGAAAGTTACTGTTAGGCGCTGAACTCCCTC